GCCATCAAAATGCAGAGCCACCCGTACCCACCTGCTGCACCATTGGCCCTCCAGATTCTCGGCCTCACTATCGGCGTTCAATCATCGATGGCCACGATCGAGCCGAAGACTGTTTGTCCAGCTGCGCGCGGTCTTATTGCATCCAAGTAGCACGCTGCCATGGGTGCAAAAGTCAATGCCTTAGAATAGCAGGAAACCTAGAAGGGTCATTTTGAATTTTGCCATCCGATGAAAGTGCTTACTCACCGACAAGTGGGTGTTTTGAATGAAGACTAATGCTGACAGAATTCCTGAACGCTACAAAGAATGATGGATGTGCAGAAATTTCGACTATAACATGAGCCTTTACGGGAAGTGCCTGGCGCAGAATTTGGAGCTGCACTAACTCTGTAGTTCTCGAAGGAGAAGTTTGCCTTCAGATTGTGCATCTAATAGTGTAGGCTTGAAAAATCTTGCACACACACAACATCACTAAAATCAAGATTGGATACGATACAACAAGGGGCGATACCTAATACTACCTCAAAGAACCGTGCAAGAATGTTCTCTAACGAATGTTGTTTGAACGACGTTCAGGTGCACCAAGTCAGCACCGCGCAACTGAACATCACTACTTGGACGCACTCTGCCAACTCAGCATCGGCAGGTCCAATTCCCAAGTAGCATTGGTGGGTGTAATGCGAATTCAGCATTGGCAGGTTTTCACCAACTAGGACAGTTATTCCTGACGGTTCAGGGTCTTAACTACCTCCTGTTGTGCACATGTCTGCAATTACGACCACATGCATCAAGTTCATCTTGCAGTAAGGTTCAGTTTCTCCCAGATAGGCTCATGGAGTTTCCGTTTTTGACTCAGAGAGAATCGCGCCCTTCCACGAAGTTGCGACGTGATGAGGGGCAAAACCTATGCCTTTGGCAGAGAGCGCGCTCGAACTCTGCCGAGGACAAGCCCTTAATCTTTTGCCGCTGCACACTTATTTCTGTAACTGTACTATGCCGACACTTCAATGAATGTGCTCTCTGCCATCGAGACTTTTCGCAAAGTCTCGCCTTGTCGCCGAATCTCTTTGCCAACTGAGTTTGTAGGCGTCGGCAGAGTCTGTCAATGCGCCCCTTCTGCAGACTCTGCATCCTCTTCCGTCAAGAATCCCGAACTCTTCCAGCAAGAAGTTGTTGGCAAATGTTCGTCCCTTCCCCCTTTCTCCTCTGGCCCTGCCTCCTTCTCTGCCTGCTCAGTCCCTTTGGGTGAACCGTCTCAGGCCTTGCTTACCTGTGTACCCCTCTGGCACCTTCTGCTGCCTCATACGATCAGCCCATAAACAAGCAAACAAGATTCATAGCTAACTCAAGCCCGCTATGTACACAAAGGGTCAGCTGGGGTAGCTAGTGATCTTGCGAGACACGACTTGTCCTCGCGTGGTCGATTGCTTCTATCTTTCCATACCATAGCACAACATTCCATGCATGCATTCTCCATTCCTGTAGAAACTGCTCCACCCCTGGCCCTCCCTTGGTTCGATCCTCATAGTGACCCTTCACATGCCTATTCCAGCAGCTTTGTCCTACTCGCCAACTGTCTGACGATGATGGCTCGGTGGCTCCATTTGTAAATGCTTCGCCAACTCAACCTCGACGAAAACACCTAGTGTACAAGCGGATAGTAAAACCAATTGCTTAAATGGAAACTCTCTCATTTCCGCGGTAGTTGTCGGCAAATGCTCATCCCTTCCCCATTTGTCTTCTGCCTCTGCCTCCTTCTCTTCCTGCTCAGCCACTTTGGGTGAACCACCTTGGGCCATGCTTACCAGTGTACCCCAGTGACCCCTTCCGCTGCCTCAGACGATCAGCCCGCTTGCCCCCTCCCAGAGCGGCACCCGATGGTCACCACCCCTTTTGCTTTGGCGACGTTTGTCACGTGATCCTTGCCCTCTCCCCCATCCGCATTCTCTAGCACCAGTACCCCGCCCCTACGGCCCAGTGCGCCCCTATGGCCCAGCGCGCCCCTAAGGGCCCCTCGCGCCCCTACCGGCCCCTCGCGCCCCTATGGCCTAGCGCGCCCCTACAGCCCCCCTCGCGCCCTTACCGGCCCCTCGCACCCTACCGGCCCAGCGCGCCCCTCAGCCCCCCCTCGCGCTCCTACCGGCCCCTCGCGCCCCTACGGCCTAGCGCGCCCCTACGGCCCCCTCGCGCCCCTACCGGCCCCTCGCGCCCTTACCGGCCCCTCGCGCCCCTAGCTGGCACCTAGCCAGCCCCTAGCCGGCCCTAGCCGGCCCCTACCCGGCCCCCATCGGCCCCCTGCGCCCCTGACGGCACCCTCGCGCCCTAGCCGGCCCCTGGCGCCTCTACCGGCCCCTCCTTCCGCCCGAGCTGGCCCCTCGCGTTCCCGCTGGCCCCTGCTGGAGCACCCTCCTGCCGAGCCGCTAAGCCGCCGAGCTGCCGAGCCACCGAGCTGCCGAGCCGCCGAGCTGCCGAGCCGCCGTGAATTCGAGCTGCCGTGCCACCGAGCCGCCGAGCCGCCGAGTCGCTGTACTGCTGCGCCGCACAGCCGCTGTGCCACTGTCCCACTGTGCGATGGCGGACGCCATTCTTCACTTGGACGCTGAGGGGCACGCGATCGACTTCGCCGCCTGGCTCGTCGACCTCCCCCGGCACCTGACAGGTCAGCACCAGGATGGGCACTCCTTGGCTATGCATGTTAATGGCTTGCTCACCAGCCCCCTTGCGCCTGATCCCCTCTCTGCTGACCCTACCACTGCTGAGAGCGACGTTGTTGCTGCTGCTGCGCTCGCTCGTGTTGTATGGGATTCTCGTGATGCTGTAGCACAACTTGCCATTAGCCATGCCCTCCCCCTGTTTGAGCATTCGCGCTTCACCGCTGTCGCGAACGCCAAGGACTTTTCTCGCTTCAGTAGTCGAGCGTTACTCCACACCTGCTTCCGCCTCTGCTGGCCGCTTGATCCTACCCATGCTCTTCCCTTATCTTTCCGCTTTCCCCACAGTAGCTGGCCTCGCTACTCACCTCCGTGCACTAGAGATCAGCTACCGCGCTGCTAGCTCTGCCGCCCAGCTTACTGCCTTCCCCCCACCTTTCTGCGCTACGCTGTACCTCATCGCCATGCGCTTGCCTGACCGCTTAGCCACTGCTCGCGACCACTTCCTTAGTCAACACCCTGCCAACCTCACCCTGACCGCCTTTGTCACTACTCTGTCTGAGATAGAGACTCGCAAGCGCACTATCGCTCAGTCGAGCGGTGTTGCAACAGTCCCTATCTTTCAGGGCTGTGCTCCCTCCCAGTGCACGTATGCTGACGTCTCCGCCGCAGTTGCAATAACAGCGCCTGCACCTGAGACAGCAGCTGCGGCTAACCCGCAGCAGCGCCAGCGCCGAGGCCGACGTGACCCCAAGGGAGGACGTGGAGGTGGCGCTATTGGTGGTGGTGGCGGGGACAGTGGTTCTGACGAGGGGGTTGGTGCTGGTGCCCAAGAGCAACAGCAGTCGCCGCAGTCGCAGCCGCAGCAGCAACAGCAGCCGTCACCGCAACAGCAGCCGTCGCCGCAACAGCAGCAGCAGCCGTGGGCTCGCCTCCCGCCGAGGTGGCCAAGAGCCCCTAGCGTTGGTGGTCGTGGTGGTGGCCCTTGCAGCTCGGCGTCCACCGGCAGCTTCGATGCTGTGAGCTGCCAGTACCAGCTTCAGACCGGGCCCCTCCGTGGCACGGTGTGCCGCCACCCGCACCCGACTGCCCGCTGCTTCTGCCGCCTCGACGACCTCTTCCGTCGCCGCTTTGGTCCAGCCCCGGACCTCCCTGACTGACCCAGCCTGCTGCGCCACGGTGTGCCTGTGTTTGACTTAGACATGGATCAGATTAAAACTGCCTTGCATTCTCTGTATGCTGACTCTTCGAGTGTTTCCGGATCGTATAACTCTGTGTTCTCTAGCTTAGGCGTAGCACCTGTGTGTAGTCCAGACTCCCCTGCTGCGTCACGCGTAGGACAGCTTGCATTGTCTAGCCTAGGCTCTACCCTTGCTCCTCCGTCGTCTGCCACTATGGCGTTGCTGTCCTTCACTCTCGACTCCGGTGCATCAGCCTGTTTCTTCCGCAACCATGCCACCCTCACGCCGCTTGCTGCACTTGCCGTTGTCGCCCTTGCGGACCCCTCCTCTGGCCCTGTAGTTGCTCGTAGCTATGCTACCCTTCCCTGTTCGGCGGTTCCCTCGGGTTCCCTTACAGGCCTGCACATCCCTTCGTTCTCCAGGAACTTAGTTGGTGTCGGCTATCTTTAGGACATTGGCGTCACCACTACGTTCCCTGGTCACGAGCGGTACGCGGTCTGTACCGAGACTGCCTCAGGTGCCCCCCTTGCGACGTTCCCCCTGGGACCCTGTGTCTGGCTTGTTTATGCTGGATACTGCTCCCCCCCGGGCGGGCGAGTCCTCCTCCGGTCCTGCGTCCACCCAGGTAGCTGCGGCCTGCTCGTGTCGCTCGCTCACTCACCCGTCGCTGTTGTGGCACCACCGCCTAGGTCACCCCGCGCTCCTGCGCCTGCGTCACATGTCTCAGCATGGTCTAGTGCTCGGCCTCCCTGCATTGCTCCCTGCTCTCCCTCCCTCGCTTGCGCCGCCGTGCACGCCCTGCGTCGAGGGCCGGCTGTGCCGTGCTCCTCACTCCTCCTCACTTCGCCCTGCCACTGCACCCCTCCAGACCCTGCACTAAAACGTCTGGGACCCATCCCTTGTCTCTGGACCGCGTCGCGAGCGCTACTTTCTTGTGCTCATTGAGGACTTCACACGCTACACGCAGCCTGAAATACTTGAAGACACAACCCAACCTTTCCAGGCGGCAGGTCCGGTGGATCGACTTCCTCGAGACACACTTCCACTACGACATCGTGTACAAGCCCGACCACAAGAACAAAGCAGACGCTCTCAGCCGGCCTGCACACGTTGCCGCTATTCAGGTCGAAGGGATGAATCCACTACTCAAGGGACTCTTCACCCACAGGTACGCCATCGACCCCGAAATTCCCTTGGCAGAAAAGCGACATGTGCTACAGTGGGACAGTGACATCGCGTACCGGAAAGGATCACCAAAAATCTGGGTACCCAATTACCCTCCTTTGCGCCAGTTACTACTCGAAGAATACCACGACGTCCTGTACGCCGGACACTTCGGTAGCAACAAGACGCTCACCGGTATCGCCAAACACTACTACTGGCCCCATATGGCAGACGACGTCCAGAAATTTGTCACCTCGTGTGATACATGTCAGCGGATGAAGAGCAGCAAGCAGAAAAAGGCGGGACTACTGCAGCCTCTTCCTGTCCCAGAACAACCATGGCAAGTGGTTAGCCTGGACTTCATCACCGGGTTACCACCTACCTCCAGCGGTCATGACGCCATCCTTGTCGTCATTGACAAGTTCTCCAAAATGGGACACTTCATCCTGACACACACGACAGCACGCACCGAAGAAACAGCACAACTCTTCGTTCGATACATCATCTTACAGCATGGCATTCCAACCACACTCATCTCCGACCGAGACCCTAAGTTCACCAGCAAGTTCTGGAAGGAACTTATGTCTCTCCTCGGGACCAAACTCGCCATGTCATCCGCTTACCATCCGCAGACAGACGGACAGACCGAGCGCCTCAACCAAATTGTTGAGCAACTCCTCCGAGCAGCCTGCAAGGACGACATCTCCAAATGGGACTTGCACCTGCCCGTACTAGAGTTTGCTTACAACAATGCTACACATGCCGCTACTGGACAGACGCCGTTCTTCCTCTGCTACGGACGCCACCCACTCACACCACAGAAACCGACAACATCCGCTACAGTACAACCTGCACATGATTTCATCACAACCATGCATCAGCTTTGGGATCGGACCCACAAGCGCCTACTCGACATTCAACAGCAACAAAAGCGCCAGGCCGATCGCCATCGCAACGACCACACCATCACGGTGGGAGACCAGGTGCTTCTTGACACCCGCAACCTGGACATCAGCCACCTCCCATCTAAACTTCGACCTCGCTTCTGCGGGCCTTTTCTCGTTGAAGCACAGGTCACTCCTGTTACCTTCCGCTTACGCCTGCCAGCTACCTGGAAGATTCACAACGCCTTCCACGTCCAACTTCTGAAGCCCTATCGGGACCCGAACACGATTTTCGTCGGACGCCAACCGCCGCCGCCACCACCCGTCCTCATCCACAATGAGCCCGAGTACAAGGTCGAGTCCGTGCTCGCACACCGCCGTCGTCGGAATGGCACCGTGGAGCTTCTCATCCGTTGGAAGGGTTATGATCCTTCTGAGGACAGCTGGGTACCTGAGTCCGACATGGGTAACGCCCGTCGTCCTCTGCATGACTACCTTGTCAAGCAGGGTGTTACTTCTACCACCCAGCTTTGAGGGGGGGAAGTGTGAGAGTACGACCCCGTTACACCACTTGGCCTTTTCTTATTTCCTTCCTTTTTCATTTCTCTTTTATCTCATCTCATTTGGTTTATCCTGCTATTATAATTATATCACCGACCAGGCTTGGGATGTACTGGTGCACTATATCCTGCTCCTGCTGCCGTTTCTCTTGCTGACCCCTCTGGCGGTCCAGTAGTCGCCCGCAGTTCCACCACCCTTCCCTGTCCGGCGGTTCCTTCGGGCTCTCTCACAGGTCTTCATATCCCCTCGTTCTCCAGGAACCTATTTGGTGTCGGCTGCCTTCAGGACCTTGGCGTCACCACTACGTTCCCTGGTTATGAGCGGTATGCTGTCTGTACCGAGGCCGCCACTGGTGCCCCCCTTACCACGTTCCCCCGGGACCCGTTGTCCGGCCTATTCACACTGGACACCGTGACTTCCCCAGCAGGGGCGTCCCCCCAGGTGGGTGTGTCTACCCAGGTTGTTGCTGCCTGCTCTTGTCGGTCCCTCACCCACCCGACTCTCTTGTGGCACCACCGCCTAGGTCACCCTGCGCTCCCGCGTCTGCGTCACATGTCCCAGCACGGTCTCGTCCTTGGTCTCCCTGGTTCGTTCCCTGAGTTTCCCTCCTCCCCCGCCCCACCGTGCACGCCTTTCGTCGAGGGCCGGATTTGCCGTGCCCCTCACTCCTCCTCGTTTCCCCCTACCGCCGCGCTGTTGCAGACCCTGCATATGGACGTCTGGGGCCCTGCCCCTGTCCATGGGCCGCGTCGAGAGCGCTACTTCCTCGTGCTTGTCGACGACTTCACTCGCTACACCACAGTCTTTCCCTTGGAGCGAAAGGCTGACGTGCTTGACGCTCTCATCCCCTGGCTTGTCTCTGCCCATGGCCACTGCGGTCTTCCTGTCTTGTGTCTTCACTCCGACCGTGGTGGCGAGTTCGCCTCAGGTGTCCTTGGTCGCTTCTGCCGTGCGGAGGGCATCACCCAGACGTTCACCCTGCCGGACTCCCTACAGCAGAATGGGGTCGCTGAGCGCCACATCGGTTTGGTCATGGAAGTGGCTCGCACCTCCATGATCCATGCCGGTGCACCCCATTTTCTGTGGCCGTTCGCTGTGCGCTACGCCGCTCACCAGCTTAACCTGTGGCCACACCCCCAGCGGCCGCAGGTTTCGCCGACCCGTCTTTGGACCGGGTCTCCTGGTGACGCGTCTGCGTTCCACGTCTGGGGCTGCCTTGCTCACGTTCGTGCCTCCGGCACGGACAAGCTCACTGCGCGCACCCTTCCCTGCGTCTTCCTCGGTTTTCCTGTTGACGCGTCCGACTGGCACTTCTACCACCCGCCGTCTCACCGCTTCTTTCACTCTCGCGACGTCACCTTTGACGAGTCCGTCTCCTTCTACCGTCGTTTCCCCCACCGCGGTCCCCCGGTTACTCCCCCTGTTCCTGGTCTCTCCTTCCCAGGTGGTCCCTGCCCCTCCTCCTCCTCCTCCCCATCCTGCCCCCTCAGGTGTGTCCCACGTCACCCCTCTTCCGTCGGTTGTCCCAGTTGAGGAGTCTTCTGACTCTGGTGGTCCTGCGGCGCAGTCCTTGCCGTCTGCCCCTCCCCAGGTGTCTCCGCCTCCACCGCCTCTGCCGCCGTCATCGCCTTTCCTCTCCGAGGCTGCTCCCCATCTCTGTTCCATGCTGCTAGTCCCTGAGGGTGACCCAGACACTTTCGACATCCCGACCCCTCGCACTTACGCTGAGGCGACCTCGGGACCCTGGGCCTCCTAGTGGATAGCTGCCATGGAGCAGGAGATGGCATCTTGGAGATCCACCGGCACCTTCGTCGACAAAGTTCCCCCACCTGGGGTGAACGTAGTCGATGGCCGCTGACTCTTCAAGGTGAAGCGCCCTCCTGGAGAGCCGCCTGTCTTCAAGGCGCGATACATGGCTAGAGGTTTCAGTCAGCGTGAGGGGTTGGATTTCTTCCAGACCTTTGCTCCGACCCCGAAGATGACTACCCTTCGGGTCCTGCTACACTTAGCAGCACAGTGTGACTACGACCTTCACTCCCTCGACTTCTCGACTGCCTTCCTTCAGGGCAGCCTACACGAGCAGGTCTACCTGCGTCGCCCTCAGGGCTTCACTGGCACCTTCCCTCCTGGGACCCAGTGGCTCCTGCGTCGTCCCGTCTACGGCCTGCAGCAGGCTCCCCGTGAGTGGCACGACACGCTGCGTGCTACCCTTGCTGATCTGCAGTTCTTCCCATCCTCTGCAGACCCCTCGCTCTTTGTTCGTGCTGGCCAGACTCCATTCTACATCCTTGTCTACGTAGACGACCTGGTCTTCGCCATAGCAGACAGGGATGCACTGGCCTCCGTGAAGGCATAGCTGCTGAAGAGACACATCTGCACTGACCTTGGAGAACTGCGTCGTTACCTTGGCCTGCAGATCTCCAGGGACAGAGCAGCGTGCACCATCACCTTGACTTTGTCATACTTGGTGCGCCAGGTCCTTCAGAGGTTCGGCCTTCAGTTCTCCTCTACACAGCCCACCCCTCTGCCGCTAGCCCACAGACTCTCCGCTACTGTTCCCGAGGAGGCGGTAGAGCCGAGTGGTCCTTACGATGAGCAGGTGTGTTGCCTCATGTACTTGATGACTTGCACTCGCCAAGATCTCGCATACCCTCTCAGCATCCTGGCTCGCTTTGTGGCCACTGGCAGACACCGACCGCAGCACTAGTCTGCCGCTAAGAGGGTTTTGCGTTATCTTGCAAGTACATCGGGCATGGGGTTAGTGCTAGGAGGACGCAGGCCAGTGGTCCTTACTGGACACACAGACGCTTCTTGGGCAGACGATGCCGAGACTCTCAGGTCTTCCCAGGGCTACTGCTTTAGCCTTGGTTCAGGTGCCGTCTCGTGGAGAGCTACCCGCTCCTCGTCTGTTGCCCAGTCCAGCTGTGAGGCTGAGATCTATGCTGGTGCCATGGCGGCACACGAGCTCCGCTGGCTGACCTTCTTGCTCACTGACTTAGGTGAGCGGCCTAGCTCTGCACCGGTCCTGTATGCTGACAACAGGGCCATGATCCTCCTGTGTCAAGAGCCTCGACTTGAGGGCAGAGCGAAGCATATTCAGCTGTGGTACTTCCTCCTGCGCGAGCTACAGCAGCGCCGCCAGGCTCGCGTAGTACACTTGGCCTCCGGTGCCAACACAGCTGATATCTTTACGAAGGCGCTTGCGCCTAAAGATCATCAGCGGCACTGTGTACAGCTCGGTCTAGTTCCTGTAGCCTCTCACTTGCTTGGACCTTGACTTTGTACTGTCCTATATATAGCGATGGAAAGTATTGTCCATATGTTTGTGACTTAGAGGAATTTTGCCATTGTAGGGGGTCATGGACATTTAGCCTTAATCTTCTGGTATGCCTAGTGTATGTAGGTTGGTGTGAGAGTACGACCCCGTTACACCACTTGGCCTTTTCTTATTTCCTTCCTTTTTCATTTCTCTTTTATCTCATCTCATTTGGTTTATCCTGCTATTATAATTATATCACCGACTAGGCTTGGGATGTACTGGTGCGCTATATCTAGCGTAATCCTGCCGTAATCCCTTAAAGCCAATAGCCTCGCGTGGCTATACGCAGGGTGATTCTATCTTCTAGAAGGGTCTATTCCCTTAGGATAAGATAAACTTGGTTACCTGATGTACTCTGGAAGTATAAAAGCGCCTTGTACTGATCGATAGTGGAACCTTTCCTGGACACATTCGATCCTGTGACACTTGGTAATCAGAGCTTTTCTCACTCGACCACGCTCAGCTAAGCAGCAGCAGCGGGGATCCTGCCTCGAAAAACCGCCGGGGGCGACCAATTCGACGCCGATTCTGGTAAGCACCAGCTCCGCGATTTTCGAATTACCCCCTCCGTGCGTGTTTTGAACAGGATGGCAACCTTCGACAACGCCGAGGTTACCCAGCAGCTCTTCGCGCGCATCGCAGCCCTGCAGGAGGAAATGCGAGCGGATCGCGAAGCGTGGCGAAACCAGTTCGAGCGAGTAACTCGACTCGCCGGAGCGCAGCACGAGACGACAACGGCGACGACGCAGCAGTCGCAGCAGTTTCTCGAGGCTCCGAAACCGCGCCCACCTGAGCCGTTCGATCCGAGCGATCGAAACTCCGACGCCCGCAGATGGATCGCCGGGATGGAGATCTACTTCGCAGCCGTCGGATGGAGCTCGCCAGTCTGGGACGGTCAACGTGTACGACTCGCGGCGACACTGATGCGAGGGCCGGCACTCGAGTGGATTGGCGGCAACAGTACTTTCATCCACGGTGAAGCCATGTGGCAGCAGTTCCGCGCCGACTTGCTGAAACGCTTCGAACCGATAAATTCGAGTTTCCTTGCCCGGGAAAAAATTCATCGACACCGACAGTTCGGGAGTGTAGCGCAGTACACGCAGCAGATGGAGGAATTTTATAACCGCATTCCCGACCTGACCGAAGGGGAAAAAGTACAATCGTACCTCGCCGGGCTGAAGACCGAAGTCAAACGACAAGTCGCAGCGTCAAACTACGCGAGCTACAGTGACGTCGTTTCGGCAGCGGAGCGCTTCGACATGGTCAACGCCGGAACACGACGGACGCACGTCGGCAGTACGCGACAGGGCGACCGCTCGGCTCACCCCACGTTCGCCGACCCGATGGAAGTCGACAGATTCGAGGGGCGGCCACGTCCGAAAAACACCAACTACACGTGTGATTTTTTGCGGGGTGCCGGGTCACCGAATCTTCGACTGCAACAAAATGAACAACAGATACTAGAAAATAACAATCTTGGTACATGTGGACAATTATTGCCAGGCGCAAGCAGCAAGTTACATCAACCCCAAACTAGTACCTAATCCACCGCCCTTTTGCCTTAGACACCGCCCTCACTCTCCTGGGCATGCTTTCCACCAGGTGGGTGCACACATCCGCCGGGATCTTCTCCCATTTCTCCTGCACCCGCTCCCAAAGGTCCAGCATACAGTGTGAGGCTTATAAGGCTTGGCCAGCTGCCGCTTGAGATGAGCCCATAAATGCTCCATTGGGTTGAGGTCGGGTGAGGAAGACGGCCACTCTAGCACCCCTGAATCTTACTCTCAAAGCCACTCCTGTACGATACGCGACTTGTGCTTCGGGTCGTTGTCATGCTGGAAGATAGTTTTTGAGGGTGTAAGCTGGTAAAGCTCAATC